TTGTTTGGGTTGGATCAGCAGAAAAAATAGCTCTAAAAGCTTCCCAAAACATTTTAAAGTCGAAATTTGGCCAAAAATCGACTGTTTTGCGCCGAAAAATCGCGGTTTTTGTATTTTGAATGCAAATTTCTACGGTTTTACGTTCAGGAATAAAAAAATTAAAAACTTTTGCTATTTATCTTTTTGAAAAATCGGATCCTTGGAAAAACGAGGAATTTGCTCAAATATCTAAAAATAATTTCTGTGCTGTGGTTTGGGGTGATTTTTTTTGATTTCAGGCGCCGCTTCGGCTGTCAGCATGAAGAAGCCGCTGAAGAAGGTGCAGCCGACCATCGTCGACGAGTTGACCACCATTCCCGACGGGCTCAAGGTACGTCCTTTCGGCTGATTTCCTCCAATTTCCGCCTGGTTCAGGTGTCCGTCCTCCCGTCCGGCAAGACGCGTCATCCGCGAGGCGGACAACGTCGCCGTCCTCTATCCAACAAGTCAGCATTTTAAATTACATTATTTACAAGTTTAAATAAGTGTAAAAATTAGCTTTCAAGTTTTATAGAGTTTAGAAATGACAATTATTGAAAAATTTTATGTTTAGAGTTATTTACAAGTTTTATACCATTTTTAAAATTTGTTTTAGAGCTTTGAAAAATTGAGAAATTAAAAATTTTCGAAAGTTTACAATTTTTATGATTTATAACCATTTTCAATAATTTTTTACAATTCCATTAATTGTCTCTCTTTAGCGGCCGATGAATGGGAAGCGCGCGACGACCTGAAGCCGACGATCAACCCCGAGCGGGAGGCGAACAAGCGCGCCAAACGCCACGCCAAGATCGAGCAGGACAAGAAGAGGAAGAAGGCGGTCAGTTTTTTTCAGAGTTGAGAAACGTTGCGTAATCGATTATGGTTTTTCTAAAATTCGAAAATTGTCTTTTGACTTTTCTAAGCGTTTTTTCGATGGCGTAATCGATTCGGGCTATTTCTAAATTCGAAACTAGTCATTTTTAATAATTTTTCATTGCGTAATTGATTCTGGCTTTTGCTATGATTCGTAAATTGTCATTTTTGCATTTCTAGGCGTTTTTTAGATGGCCAATCGATTCCAGCGTTTTCTAAATTCGAAAATAGTTCTTTTGTAGCGATTTTACGTGGCGTAATCGTTTTCAGCTGTTTTTGTAAATTCGAAATAGCCCATTTTTGAGCGAATTAATTGATCCCCGAGCCTTTTCCAAATTGTTATTATTGTTTTGAAAGGTGTATTTTAGCATTATTTTAATTCTCTGATTATTTTAATTCGAAAATAGTCATTTTTTTATCAATTTACATAGCGTAATCGATTGTTATGCTCCTAATATTCGAAAGCACACATTTTTGTCGGGAATTTACATTGTGGAATCGATTCTAACGGTTTTTAAATCCCATTTTTAACGATTTTCCCTGGCGTAATCGATGTAGCTAGTTTTTTCTGCTTCGAAAATGCCAATTTTTAATCGCTTTACATCGCGTGATCGCTTCCAGCGTTTTCTAAATCTAAAAATACCCATTTTTGACCATTTTAGGTGGCGTAATCGTTTTTAGCGTTTTCTAAATTTGAAAATACCACTGTTTTCGATTTTTTCACGGTATTTTACAACCCTTTTTGCAGGCAAAGAAAGCGGGCGGCGCGGCGGCGTCGGGCAAGTCGGTGGTGGCGAACGCGGCGGGGATGTTGGTACCCGCGACGGGGGTCGAGCCGAAGAAGGAGGAGGTCAAGGAGGAACAGGTTCGACTTCTTCGCTTTTTTTAGATTTTTCTCTTTTAGTAAAATTTAACTAGATTAAAAAAACTATCGAAAAGTTAAAAAAATTTTGAAAGGTCGAAAATGGCCATTTTCGCTTTTTTCATTTTATCTTTCCATGTATCTGTTTTCTTCTAGGTCGACTACAGCGCCGCGGAAGCTGTTGAAGAGCCGGACAGCGACGTCGAGCAGGTCGAGCCGCCCCTGAAGAAGGCCAAGAAGACGGAAAAGGTGCCCCTAAACGCGAAAATTTTTGCAATTTTTTTAGGCGATAGATGTTTTTTACTAAAATTACTATTTTAAAAATTAAAAAACGTTTAATTGCCAATTTTTTAGGCGAAAAAGGCGACGCCGATCGCGCCGCTTGGGGAGGAGGAGGGCGGCAAGAAAAAGAAGAAGCTGAACAAGCCGGTGAAGAAGGGCAACAAGGCATCGCCGGCGATCCAGAAGAAGAAGAAGATGAACAACAACGGCAACAAGGACAAGAAGAAGACGGCCAAGGCACGCTGAGGAGTCGATAAAGGAATCTAATTAGTTGTTGTCTCTCTCTCTCTCCCTCGCCTCTCTCCTCTCTCTCGCTTTCTCTCTCGCGAGAGAGAGAATTGTTGATTTGTTACATTGTTATTGCCATCGAATTTGTTTCTTTGTTTTTGCCGGATTGTTTTGTCGAATAAAGAGTTACGCGATATTTTGGAGGAATTTGCGGAAATTGGAAAAATACAGGATATCCTGATGCTTTTAACCTTATGAATTTCGAAGGGGATATTTTAGCTTTTTCTAATGTCCATTTTTAATCATTTTACACCGATTCTTTCATTTTAGCTTTTTCTAAAACTCGAAAATATCCATTTCTGATGATTTTCGATAGCGTAATCGATTCTGGCTGGCTTTTTTTTTGATTGGAATGACGCATTTTTAATCATTTGAAATGGCGCGATCCATTCCTTTGAAGTTTTTCATTTGCAGGAATGGAATCGGGGCCTTTCTGTGTCAAAATTTCGTTTTTTATGTCGTGAGAATGCGCCGCGGTTGGTGGTTGATTTTTGGCCGGGGATTGTCAGAAAATCGGAAGATAAATTCCCGGATTTTAACGCGTGTTTCGCGATTTAATGAAGCAGTTTTCAAGCAGAAAAAACCGGGAAATTCGGCTTTCTTTCACTTTCTTCGGTTTTTCTGCTTTCCCTCGAATTTCACGGCTAATCATTCTCTATGTGTGTTTTTTGCAGGCCGATGTCCTTACCGTGGTACTACCTGGAGCACGCGACGCGACGCCAATTGTTAAAGTGAGTTTTTACAAAGTTTGGGGGTTTTAAACTCCTATTCCGGTTCTTTTGCATTATCGGGGGGACCAACGGGTTTCTAGGGATCCAATTTTTCGAAAATAAAAACGGCAAGTGCTTCTAAACTCTTTTTAATACTCCAAAACGCAAAAAGTGACAAATTTTGATTTAAAAAATACAGAAAGAGGTTTTTTCGTCGAAAAATTGCCTTTTTGCGATGCGATTTGAAAAAACTTGCGATGGACCCCCCCCCCTCCGATAATGCGAAAAATCCGAGGCCTATTTATACCGTTTTGTCTATCCATTAATTTCCCTTATTTTTCTAGAGCGTACTACTGGACGTGCTTTCTCGCGTACCCTGCCTACGTCGCCGTCAACTACCAAAGGGCCATCCCCACCAAACAACAGGTATTTTTCGAATTCCGGTCACTTCGCCTAAATCCCATTTCGCCTAAATTTTGGTCATTTTCACATATAAATTTTTGACCAAACCGTCGGCAATTTTCGAAAGCTTTATAATAGTTTCGTAAGATTTTAAAGAGACTCCTTGAAATTCTTCATTAAAAGCTATGTAATTCGCTTCATAACGTTTATTAATTTCATAACGTTTTATAAATTATGTTTAGAAAATCCTAAAACACTTACAAGTATTTCGAAAAATGGTGATTTTTTGGTCAAAAATCCTGCAGTGCAAACGGTCAATAATTTAGGCGAAATGGATTTAGCTGAACTGGCCGTCACCCGTATTTTTCAGTTTGATTTTGTGATGCCAGGGTTTAATTTTTCATTGGTTTTTTTTCACTTTTATTTTCTTTAAATTTACTACTGGTTAGTAGCGTAGAAAAAAATATAGAATTTTCCAGTTTAACCTTCAAAAACATTGCAGATTTCCAGGAAATTTTGATTTTTTTAGTCATAAACCGATTTTTTTTTGTAGTTTTTGGGAATTTTGGAGTCGATTCGGTCATATCATATTCTTTTTTTACCCGTTACGCGTATACGGTACGATTTAATATGCTTTATAAATTTGATTCTAGTTAGAGAATCGATTTTTTTTTGGTTTTTACAGTTTTTAAAGTTTTGGAACCAATTACGCCATCAAATTCCCTATTTTTTTTGCAGGTGCTCGGCACGCGGAACTTGAAGGAGTACGTGGCCCCCGCCGAGTTCAAGCCGCACCCCCAGGATTTCACGCCGAAGAAGCTGTACAGGGAGGGCGACGCGAAATGACGAGGAGCAGACGTTTCGCTTTGTAGTTTGTAGTTTTGCGCCCGTATTTTGTTTTGATTATTCGTTTTTTTGCTGCCGATTTTCTCGTGTCGTTTGTCATTTGGTGTTGTACGTATTTTTAAAGGGATAAATCGCGCAAAATATCGCCTTTTTTCGACCTTTTTTTCTCGTATTTTGCGCAAAAAAAAATAAGTAGAAAACAGAGAGAGAACTGCAGAAATTTAGGAAATAAAAAAATTCGCAGGAAATCCCTGGCGAAAAAAATTCCATTTTTTGGGTACTTGTGCATTATCGGGGGTGTTGATCAAATTTTTTTCGATATAAAAAGCAGGTTTTTTACCGTTTCACGAATTTTAATTAAAACGTAAAAATTTCACGTAAAACCTCAACGTAAAAATTTCACGAATTTTAATTAAAAGATGCAAAAAATCGTGTTTCGACGAAAATGGCCGTTATTGATCGAAAAGCTCGATTTTTTTGGACGTTTTTCTAAGGTTTTTAGCAGGGTTTTTGCGATTTAAATATAGTTCAAGCTCGCTAGAAACGCTATTAAAATACGTGAATTTTAATTATTGCTTTACTAGACATTTCTGAATTTAGCGGGGAAAAAAATTAGGATTTTCAGGGGAAATCTTGGAAAATATTTTATGTGTTTTTTTTCGTGGTTACGGTAGAATATGCCATATTTTAGTTTTTTTTCACTTTTTTAGACTTTATTTTGATGGCTCGTCGCCGATGACCACCTCTTCGTGCTGCACGTACAGATCCTCGTCGCTGCACACGAGCGCCTGCAAAAAGGACGAATTTTTGGTACTGCGCTCTTAGCGGGGGTGGGATTTCTCCAAAAATCGCTGCTAGATTGCCAGAAAACGATAAAATTCCGGCTTTCCTCAAGAATCTCTGCTAGCTGGCGCGCCTTTAGCCTCAGAAGCGCAAGTAAATCGATATTTCCTCCCGGCGTACCTCGTCCGTAAAGAGGAATTGCGTAGCTTCGGGCTGCTGCCGGAAGTCGTCGAGCTGTTCAAAGGGCGCGAAATCGTAGCCGACCGTCTCGGCTTCTTGTGGCTCGTAATTCTCCAAGTAGCTGCAAAAATCAGGAATAAAAATACGGAAAATAATATGTAAAAAATAGCCGATTAAAATACGAAAAATTCGATAAATCCGAAAAACTACCGTAACCCAAAAAATCCTATTAATTTTAATTTTTAAGGGCCAAAAAATGGGTCATTTTAATTGAATCATCTTTTTTTTGTAATGTAATAAAGAAATTTTGAATTGTTTTTTAATTTTTTGGTTTAACTTTGATTCAAATCGTCGAATTCTTTTTAATTTATGGTAAAAAAACTAAATTAACGAATTAAACTGCTTGATAAATTAAAATTAAAGACTTTTTAATGAAGTTTTTTACTATAAAAGTCTACTTTTATCAAAAAACTAAAAATTTTAGTTTTTGAAAATCGAAAAAGATTACCCGGTTTCTTGCTGAAAGTATTGTTCATCTTCATCTTCTTCTTCTGGCCGCCCCTCGCCGTACGGCAGTAATTCGGCGTATTTTCTTTTTAATTGCCTGAAATTTCGGGTTTATTCATTTAACAAATAATAATAAAAATGTTCCAATTTTTTTGAAAAATTAAAATTTAAATAAAGTAAATAAAAACCATTAAAAATTCGATTTCTATTTTTCGAAAAATTAGATTTTTTATTTTTATTCTGGCAAAAATTTAAGTTGCCATAAGTTTTAAATTACTAGAACATGAGAGCTATTTAAAAATAAAGTTTATTAAAAATTAAAAAAATTAAAATGAATGTTAATTCAAAAATCAATTAATTTAGCTAAAAATTTTAAACAATTTGTTCTTGTTGATTTAATTAAATTTTTAATTTAATGTCTTTGTTAAAAATGTCAGGAATCTCTAAGAAAATACCGTAATCCGTTTGCCGCGTCGCCAGCCGGCAGTAGAACAACTTTACTCGGCGATGACGTCGCCACGATTTGGTAAACCTGGGAATGGGACCAAATAGCGGAGATTCTTTGCCGGTTTTTTTTTGTTGGTTTCAGGATCAGAACAAAACCCGAAAATTTTTAGCTTTTTAAAATCATAAAAATTTTGATTTTTGGAAATTAAAATTTTCTAAATTTTATTTTTTACAAATTTTTATATTTTTTTTTGTTCTTTTGCGTTTTTTGTTTTTGTTTCCGCGCTACCGTACCCTCTTCTGGCGCACGGGCAGCAGCGGGCCGGCGACGTCGACCTGCTCGCAGTTGACCATCAGCCGGCGCCGTACTTCTTGCTTCTGCGCCGCCGTCAGGTACTCGAGGCCCTGGGCTGAAAATTCAGGTGACGAGGGTTGTAGTTTGTAGACTGGCTGCCATTTTAGCCATCCCAGCCGAAAAATCAACTCAAATTTCAAAAAGCAAAAAGTTAGCCGCGGCCGGGGGTCGAACCCGGGTCGCACGCCTGATGACTTTTCTGTAGTTTGTAGCCTACATTTAGAGTTTGTAATCTGTTGCCTGGATGCCAGTTGGCAGATTCCCGAAAAGATTCGAGTGCTAGCTACAAACTACAAAAAGTTAGAGCATTGGAAAATTTGGCGAAATCCCAATTTTTACGATTTTCCGCGTGATTCCTGTAGACATTTGGGGGTACTGTAGATGATTGTTATGATCTATTCGAAAGAGGAGAATGAGTTCTATCACATCCCAACACTATCATCTACCCTATCCCTATATCTAACCATTTAAAGGGACCAGAACACCTCGAAAATCGCGATTTTGACACTTTTCCAAATTAGTCCTAATGACGCCGGGGGTACTGTAGTTAATTTTTCACGATTATATTTTGTCGTCCGGATGCCAGTTTAGTGATTCCAATAGAAATCGACGTACCAATGAGGACTCTGGGCTCTCCCTGGATGCGTACCCCATCACCGGTCAGCCCCGCGTGGTTCCGGATCACCTGAAAAGGGCAAGGGATTAGGGATCAAAAATCAGGGTGCGATGCGTAAACTGACAGCCAGACTACAGACTACAACTTTTAGAGAGTGGCTACAGACTCCAGCAAAGCCACCAGGCGAACGACCCGGGTTCGACCCCCGCCGCGGTTTTAACCTTTTTGCTTTTGGAAAATCTGCCTTGATTTTTTGATCAGGGTGCCTCAACTGGCATCCAGTTTAACCAAAAAACCAATTTAAACCATCTACAGTACCCCCAGACTCAGTTGGAGCAACTAGGAACAGTATCAAAATCCCGATTTTCGGGGTGTTCTGCCCCCTTTAAGTGGCTAGATAGAGGTATACGGTAGATGATAGTGTTGGGATGTGATAGAACTCATTCTCCTCTTTCGAACAGATCATAACAATCATCTACAGTACCCCCAAATGTCAACAGGAATCTACCGGAAAAGCGGAAAAATTGGAATTTAGCGAAATTATCAAAATGGTCTAACTTTTCGTAGTTTGTAGCCGGAGCTCGAATTCTTTTGGGAATCGTCAAACTGCCAACCAGACTACAAACTACAATTGAAGGTTGAGACTACAGACGACAGAAAAGCTGCCCAGCGGACAACCCGGGTTCGATCCCCGTCGGTTTAACTTTTTGCTGTTTGCATTGTGAGTTGAAAATTTTATAGGAATCGCTAAACTGACTGCCAGACTACAGACTACACCCTCTTAAATGGTCTCCGCTAGCTGCCCCCTTCTACCTTGACTTGTGCCCTCGAGGCGATCGAGTCGACAATGTCCTTTCCGTGGCATATATGGGGATGGGGAGGGCGGTCGGGGTCTTCCATCAGAATATCCCGCACCACCAGAATACGCGGGATCTTCACCTGACGGTAGCGCCCCTGAAAATACAGGATTTGAAAGATAAACTACAAAAATGAGAAAAATACCATATTTTCAAAAAAATGGTTTTTTGTAGTCTGTAGCTTAGGTTTAACAATGGTAGTTTGTAGTCTGGCTGCCAGTTTGGCGACAGCGGCAAAAATTAGGGAAATAGCTACAAACTACGAATTGTTAGAACCATTTGAAAAGTTCGCGATTATTCGGGTTTTTGTAGTCTGTCGCCTGGGTCTAACAATTGTAGTTTGCAGCCTGGCTGCCAGTTGGGTGATTCCAAAAACAATTGGGAGTCTCGCTACAAACTACAAAAAGTTAGACCCCAACGAAAATTTGGTAAAAATCTGATTTTCCCGATTTTCCGCTAGATTCCAGTTGACATTTGGGGGGGTACTGTAGCTGATTGTTATGATCTATTCGAAAGAGGAGAATGAGTTCTATCAGAATTCCGATGACACTCCCGAAAATGGGATCCCCGAAAATTGGTTTCCCGAAACTCGGAGTCCCGAAAATCGAAGTCCCGAAAAATCTGACTCCCGAAAATCTGAGTCCCGAAAAATCTGACTCCCGAAAATCGGAGTCCCGAAAACTCCGACTCCCGAAAATCTAAGTCCCGAAAATACCCGCAGTGATTTGGGTTTTTTTTGGGGCCGGAAGCCTAAAAACCAGTAGCCAAATTTTCGGGATTCAGATTTTCGGGAGTCAGATTTTTCGGGACTCAGATTTTTCGGGACTCCGATTTTCGGGGCTCCGAGTTTCGGGAAACCAATTTTCGGGAATCGGATTTTCGGAAGTATAAGCAAACCCCGTTCTATCACGTCCCAACACTATCATCTACCCTATCCCTAGATCTAGCCAGTTAAAGGGGGCAGAACACCCCGAAAATCGCGATTTTGGCACTTTTCCAAATCGATCCTATTGACGAATTAGGGGTACTGCAGATATATGAATTATCAGTTTTCGCTAACCTGGCTGCCAGTTTGGGCATTCCGAATGAAATCGGCCTTCAAATGACAAAAATCAAAAAGTTACGCCTAAGCGGGGGCTCGAACCCGGGTCGTTCCCCCCCTGGTAATTTTCATTATTTTTTAAATCCTGACTAAACTTACGAATTTCCGTTCCCTCTGCTTCATCACGGAACACTGCGTGCACATCCACGTCACGTACCCTAAACACGGGGCTTTAAAGGGCCTAGGAAGTCAAAAAGTGGGCGTGGCCTCGCTGTGGATTTGGCTTCCAAGTCCCTTTAAAGAAAATTTTCAGCGCTAGGCCTATTTCCACCAAGAATGCTGGATGCCGTCCCTTAGTCGTTTTTTCCGTTTTAAAGGACCCGAGAAGTCAAAAAGGGGGCGTGGCCTTGCTGTGGATTCTGGCTTCCCGGTCCCTTTAAAAGTAGCGTACCTGGCATATGTGCATAATTGTGTACCATACACCACTCGTAGACACGATTCGCATGCAGTCGACTCATGTAGAACATTATCTAAAGCGACGCGTTTTATCGATTACGCCATCAAAATCGCAATTTTTATAAATTTTTTATAAATTTTAAAAATAATTTTTTGGAAATTTAATCGATTTTTTTACAATCCTTGCTAGGCAGTTAGCAATATAAAACATTAAAAATGACAAAAATCCATCAATTACGCTATGTAAATCGAAAATTGGCCGAAAATCTGGACTTTTCCTAAAAATTGTTTTCGAAAATTCGAATTTTTGGTTTTTTTTTGTATTTTTGCCAGGCACTTAAGCGTCAAAAAACTCAAAAATGACATATAACAATCGATTACGCGATCAAAATCGAAAAATTGGAATTTTCAAATTGTCCAAAATCGAAAAACTTGCCGGATTGCGGGTATTTTTGCTGGTCATGTAGATGGCACGGCCAAAGTCCTCGTAGACCGCTTTTGGCGGCTAAAAAAATAATTTTTAAACAACAATTTAATAAAGCATTAAAGACCAATTTTAAAGGGACCGGCCAGCCAGAAATCCACGGCCAGGCCACGCCCCCTTTTTGCCTTCTTGGTCCCTTTAAATGTTTGGAAATTGATGGAGGCAAGGGCAGGCTAGCAGGGATCCATTGGGGAATTCGATTTAGTGCTGGAGACTCATTTTAAAGGGACCGGGAAGCCAGAAATCCACAGCGAGGCCACGCCCACTTTTTGACTTCTCGGTTCCTTTAAATGCTTGGAAATTGATGGACTCAGGGCAGGCTAGCAGGGATTCTTTGTGGGAAACCCCCCGGGGCAGAAAATCTTTTTTAAAGGGGCCGGCAGGCCAGCAATCCACAGCCCGGCCACGCCCTCGTTTTGCCTTCTCAGCCCCTTTAAATGGCCGGAAATTGATGGAGGCAAGGGCAGGCTAGCAGGGATTCTGTGGGAAAATTTTAAAAATTCCCAAAAATATATTTCATTTCCAAAAAAATCAAAATTCGCGTTTTTAAAAATCTCGAAAAATATTAATAAATTTCTTTTTTAGTAAATTTTAATGTAAGTATATTTAATGTACATTTTTGGAATAAATACGGTACCTCAGCGGGGCGAACGGGCAGAGACGTCGAGGGAATCGCGTCCGGTTCCGCAAAATCCGGCACCTCGTCCGCAAAGCTGAGAAAACGGTTCTGTTCTATTAGCGGGGGGGACCCAAATTTTGCCCAGTAATTTTCTACGGCCCTCTAGCAAAGCAAAATAATAAAATTTTTTACTTTTTGGTGAAAAATGTTTCAAAAATTATCAAAAATGTCGAAATTTTCGAATTTTCAAAATTTTGCAAGTTTTTTTCTTTCTAGCAATCAAAAACTCAAAAAAAAACCCGAGAAAATACATGATAGATCAAGAGGCAGATATGGGCTTAAAAATAAAATTAATCCCCCCCCCCCGCTAAGAAATCAGTGCCGGGGCCCGGGAGAACTAGGGGGGAAAAACCTACAAATCGTCGAGCAGCAGCCCGCCGGCGTCACCGAGCAGTCCAGCGTCGTCCATGCCTGGAAAATGGATAGAAAAGAGCTGCAAAAAAAAGTAGAAGAAAATGAGAAAAACTTCAGGTTTTTAAAAAGTACAAAATCCGGCAAAAATACGATTTTTTTTCAGTTTTCAGGACCAAAAACTCTCAAAAAGGAGCTAATAACTTACATAAATGTTAAAACGAGAATAATCAATGAAAAATAGTTGCAAGAAGATCAAAAAAAACAAAGGAATCCGAGATTTTGGGTTGTTTTCGATGAGGAGCTCAGAAAAACGGGCGATATCTCGTGAAATAAAGACTGTAGCCAAAAACGGACCGCAGATTCGGAATCCTCGCAAAAAACTGGACTAGGTGGAGCTTTTAAAGCCCAAGCGTAAGCCCGGAAAGCCGGCCAAACAACGGGCTTTTCCTTTGCCGGGGCGCCCCCGGGGCTGAGGGGACGATTCTCGAGAGAGCACAGGAACAGGGCGGAAGGAGTACTGCCGCGGAGCGCCCCCGCCCGTCCTAGGTCAGTTTTTGCCTGTTTTCTTTCGCAAATCACAAACATTTCCGGTCAATTCAGCTTCGGTCTGGTGCAGAATTTCACGCTGATTCCGAATATGTAACTGAAATTTTGAGATTTCTTATATTTCTAAAGTTACAAGCGAGTTTTGGGGCAAAAACGGCCCAAAAAGGCGGTACTGGGGTGAAACGGTCAAGTAACGCTAGTTTATTGTGGCCTGACTACCAATTTAGCGATTCCCCCAAAGGAATCAGTGCCAGCCACAAACTAGAAAAAGTTGCGCAAGCTTTGGCAAAATCCAATTTTCCACATTTCCGCTAGATTCCTATTGACATTTGGGGGGTACTGTAGATGATTGTTATGATCTATTCGAAAGAGGAGAATCAGTTCTATCACATCCCAACACTATCATCTACCCGATCCCTAAATCTAGCCATTTAAAGGGGGCGGAATACACCGAAAATCGCGATTTTGGCACTTTTCCAAATCGGTCCAACTGAAGGTTTAGAGGTGCTGTAGATTTTTTAAAAGACATTTGGGTATTCTGGACGCCAGTTGAGGCATCCTGATCAAAAAATCCAAGCAATTTTCAAGAAGCAAAAAGTTAGCCACGGCCAGGACTCGAACCCGTAGTCTGTTTCGCTGTAGTTTGTGGTTTTTCTGCAGTCCGTAGCCGCTCATTGGAGCTTTTATTTTGTAGACTGGATGCCAGTTTAGCAAATAGCATCAAAATTTGCATAAAAATTTCGGATTTTGGGGTTTTTTTTGGGAGCGCTAGGTCAAATCGTAATGTGGCGCCTTTCGGAGCGGTTGATCCATCTGGGCCATCTCAAATTCAGGTATCTGCCCGATAGAGATTCCCACCCAACTGATTTCAGACGGCCCCTGCGCTTCGCGCGCCCCGTGTCGACGAGCCGCCCGCGCGGCGAGGGCCAAAAGGTACCAATCGTACACGCCATGCAATTCGCGCGAAGACTAATCCACAAAATTCGCGATTTTCGCGCGGTGTTTTTTGGTGTAGTTTGTAGCCTGGCGGTCAGATGGTCGATTTACGCAGTGGATTCTGATTTTCGAAAGCACCTCTGCTAGCTGTCCGCCTCCAAAGACTCGGAAATGCCAGATTCGGCCCTGATAGCGGCAAAAAAAGCGTTGAGGTGTTCCCGCCACCGCCGGATGTCGCGAAGCGGGCCCACATCGGACAACTCGACGAATATCACCGCCTGTATCGGGAATCCATTGAAGATCCCGGGAAATTCTGGCGGAACATCGCCGAGGAATTGCATTTTGAGAAGAGGAGCGACAAGGGTGGGAGGATTTTCGCAAAGAAACCCTGCAAGCTTGCCTCCAAAATTTTTCATATTCTGGGATTACCTAAACTGGCACGTAAACTACAGGCTACAAGCTTTGTTTTCAAGGCTACAAAATACAAAACAAATCTCTGGGGTGAAGGGTCCGGGTTGGATCCCCGTCCGGGGCGGAAATTTTTGCTTTTTGGGTATAATTCATTAATTTTTGCGAAAAACATCAACCTGCCAGCCAGACTACAAAATAAAAACATGGCCCCGAGGCGACAGACTACAAAAACGCTATTAAGCGAAGGGCCCGGATTCAACCCGCCGCCGAGGCGTAACTTTTTGCTTTTTGGAATTTGGACTCCCATTTTGATCGGAAGGACCAAACTGTAATCCCGACTACAAACTACAAACTACAAACCCCCGCTCAGGCCTCGAGTCGAACATGGACTACCGGTTCGCGCCCGTCTTCGCCCGGTTCATGGCCGGCTCGACGACCAACATCGCGTTCAACTGCCTCGAGCGGAACATCCAGCGCGGGTAGGGAGCAGATTGGCCGCCAGACTACAGAATACAACCCCGAAAATGAGGCTACAAACTACGAAAATCTTGTCAGGCGAGCGACCCGGGTTCGACCCCCGGCCGAGGCGTAACTTTTTGCTTTTTCGATTTATACCACCAAATTTTTTTGGAATCTATAAATTGTCAGGCATACTACAGACTACAGCTGTTAGCTAAAGGCTACAGACTATAAAACCGGTCTGGCTTGTTGTTGAACGCCGTGGTGTTGAGGTTGGGCGATCGTGTGGCGTACTATTGGGAGGGGAACGAGCCGGCCGACCGCCAATCCATCACCTACGCACAGCTACATCAACAGGTACCCAAAGCCAAAGCTAAGCCTCAGCGGTTCTGGACTGTTAGCGGGGGACCGCCTTTTTTTGAAAAACTCAATCCTGAAAATTCGGCATTTTGCGATTTTTATGGTTGTAGTTTGTAGCCCGTCGGCCAGAAGGACGATTCGCAAAATCCAAATCGTTTTCCTAAAGAATCTCGGCTAGCTAGCCGCCTTGAACCCCCGAAAAAACGGGTATTTTTGGGCTTTTTGGTTCTGGTCCGTTAACGGGGGGGGACCACTTTGTGTTTTCCCACCTATTTCTACCAGTTGATGATATATCGTCTATTTTTATAGTTTTTTTTTGTCGTTTTTTATTGCTAGAAAATCATATAAAATATTTTTTAAAATTCCAAAATTCGAAAACTTTGACTTTTTGAGAATTTTTGAAACATTTTTCACCAAAAATCTACCCTTTTAACCGCCCAACTTGCAGGTGATGAACTTCTCGGCGGTGCTGCGCGGGCACGGCGTCAAGAACGGAGATGTCGTCGCCATCTACTTGCCCATGGTCCGCTGGCTTTTTCGCGTTTCCAAAGACTTTTCCGATTTCTGTAGTTTATAGCCTGCACGTAAGGATTGTAATTTGTAGTCTGGCTGCCAGTTTAGCGATTCTAATCGAAAAATAAGCTGCATTTTGAAAAACCAAACCGTGACGACTCCTCGAGGGGTCGAACCCAGGACGCTCACCTGGTGGATTCTGTAGTTTGTAGCCGGCACGCAATGCTTGTACTTTGTAGTCTGGTTTCCAGTTTAGCCATCCCATTTGAAAAGGCAGTCCAATTCGCAAATCGTAAAAAGTTACGCCTCGCTGGGATTCGAACCCTGGTCGCGCACCTGGTAGGATTTTTGTAGTTTGTAGCCTATAGGTAATGGGTGTAGCTTGTAGTCTGGCTGTCAGTTTATCCATTCCCCCCAATTCCAGGTGCTCGAGCTGGCCGTGGCGATGCTGGCGTGCGCCCGAATCGGTGCCCTCCACAGCGTCGTGTTTGCCGGCTTCTCCGCCGAGTCGCTCGCCACGCGCATCGTCGATGCAAAGTAACGATTGTAGTCTGTATCGTGTCTGTCAGTTCAGCGATTCCCGAAAGAATTTGAGGTCTAGCTACAAGCTACAAAAAAAATAGAGCCCTTCGAAAATAGTGCAAATTCCAATTTTTCCTGATTTCCGGTAGATTCCTGTTGACATTAGGGGGTACTGTAGATGATTGTTATGATCTATTCGAAAGAGGAGAATGAGTTCTATCAGATCCCAAGACTATCATCTACCCTATCCCTATATCTAGCCACTTAAAGGGGGCAGAACAAGGCGAAAATCACGATTTTGGCAATTTTCCAAAGTACTCCTACTGACGTCAGGGGGCGCTGTCGAGTATTTTCAAGCTTGTACTTTGTAGCCTGGAGGCCAGTTCAAGGATTCCAACAAAAATCCGGTCCCAAGAACCCGAAAGCTAAAAATTAGGCTGCGACGCTGGTCGAACCCGGGCGATTCGCCCGAATTTTGTATCATTTACGCTGCCTGCCAGTTTAGCAATTCCCGAAAAATTTAGAGTTCTTTATTCGCAAAATAAAATGTTGACCCGCCCTCGTTGCAGATGTGGGGTGATCGTGACGGCGGACGGGTTCTTCCGCGGCGCCAAGCGCGTCGCGCTGAAGCCGATCGTCGACGAGGCGCTGCGCATTGCAAAAGGCGGAGGGCACGACGTGACATCGGCGATTGTCGTCCAACATTTGCGACGCGTCACCCCGCCGGAGGGGCACGACATCGAGCAGGTCGGCTCGTGCTCGAGTTCTGTAGTTTGTAGCCGCGGTCTCTCGACTTTAGTTTGTGGTCCGGATGTCAGTTTAGGGATTCGCATCGGCAAATCAGAAAAATTTCGAAAAGCAAAAAGTTAGCCCCGGCCGGGGATCGAACCGGGGTGGTTCGCCTGGCAGCTGTGCTGTAGTTTGTAGCCACCGCGCAACAGTTCTATTTTGTAGCCTGGATGGCAGTTTAGGGATACGCATCGGAAAATCCGTAAAAATTTCGAAAAGCAAAAAGTTAGCCCCGGCCGGGGATCGAACCCGGATCATGCGCCTGGCAGAATTTCTGTAGATTGTAGCCCCAAAATAAATATCGTAGCCTGTGGCCTGGCCGTCAGTTTAGCGATCCCCGGAAAAAATTACACAAAAAATCACTGCAAAATGAGCAGGAGACCCGGTGCGGCGGCGGGCGGCACGAGTTCATCTACGACGTCGAGATGGACAAGTACAGGGGCGTCGAGTCGCCGGTGGAGTGGGTCGACGCTGAGCAGCCGCTTTTCGTGCTCTACACCAGGTACGCAGGGGGGCAGGCTAGCAGAGATTCTTCGTGAAGATGAACTTTCGCCAAAAAATCGCATTTTAAAATAATCCATCCGCAAAATTAGCGATTACCGATGTGTAATTAGTTGTAGTTTGTAGTCCGTCAGCCAGATAGCCGCTTTTCGAGATCGATATCGATTTCCTAAAGCACCTCCGCTAGCTAGCCGCCTCGAAAGCGCTTTCGGGCGGCGTTTTTCGGAAAATTCTTGAGCTGGCAAGCGAGCAGAGAATCTTTGCGGAATTCAGCGGTTCGACGGGCAAACCGAAGGGCATCCTCCACACGACGGCCGGCTACATGACATACACGTACGCCACGGCCAAGTACAACTTTGACCTGCACGCCGATCGACCCGAAGATGTCTACTGGTGGGTGTAGTTGGGGTGTAGTTTGTAGTCTGTAGCCTATAGCCGTAGTCTAGCTTGTAGCCTGGACGCCAGTTTGTCGTGTGCAGTCGATTTTGTAGTCTATAGAATCTAAGATGTCGAATTGTAGTCGCAGTACCTAGTAAGGACATTTTCGTAGTCTGTAGTCGAAAGCCGTTTCTGTAGCTTGTAGCCTGGCCGTCAGTTTGTAGTTTCCATCAGATTTTGTAGTCTGTAGTTTGTAGTCTGTGGAGTTCTAGCCTGTAGTTTGTAGCCCGGAGCCGGCAGGCTACAAACTACGGTCTACAAACTACAGGCTCCAAACTACAGACACCACTCCCTGCAGGTGCACAGCGGACTGTGGCTGGATCACGGGCCACTCGTACCTCGTCTACGGCCCGCTCCTCAACGGCGCCACGTCCGTGTTCTTCGAGGGCATCCCATCCCACCCCGATCCCTCCCGGCTGTGGCGCGTCACCGAGCAGTACGGCGTCACCCGGCTCTACACCTCACCCACCGCCATCCGCGCACTAATGACCTCCGGTGATGAATGGGTGCGGAAACACGACTGCAAGGTTGGCGGGTTCTATCTAGTGGCGAGCACAGCTCCGTCGACTTCGAGGCGTTCGGGCTGAAATTTTGCACAACCATGCGGGAGACCGCGACGCATATTGATGCAAATTTTCAGCCAAAATTACAGTAAGACGACCGAGATATTGCAAAAAACCCACAGCCCCGGTGCGCCAAACTTTGGACCACTGTAACTCACGCGGACTACTGTATTTTGGGCTGAAAATTTGCACAGATATGCGACTAGGTTTTCCGCCTGTATATACGAAATTTCAAGCCAAATTACAAAAATATGAGCGAGTTACGGTAGCCTGATGACTACGGCACCGGGCGGCGACAAACTTGGCTGTAACTCGCCGGTATTACTGTATTTTGGACTGAAAATTTGCAAGGAAATGCGCCGCGGTTTCCCGCATGCGTGCGCAAAATTTCAGCCCGAACGGCTCGAAGTCGACGGGCCTCGCTGCGCTCACCGACCTGATTTCAGTCCCTGAAAATCCTGGGCACCGTCGGCGAGCCGATCAACCCGGCCGCGTGGCTGTGGATGCACGACGTCGTCGGCGAGGGGGGCCGCTGCTCGGTCGTCGACACGTACTGGCAGACCGAGACGGTAGATGAACATCGTTACCACCAGGGAGGGACATCTTCAGGGTGGTCACATGATTGCCCCGCTGCCGGGCGCCGTGCCCCAGAAGCCCGGCTCGGCGACGTTGCCCTGCTTCGGCGTGCAGCCCGTACTGCTCGACGACGCCGGCAAGGTCGTTGAGGTGTGCGGTACCTCAAAGGGTTTTTTTCTGGGTTTTTCAATACGCAAAAAGTTTGACGCCGCGCGGAATCGAACCCGGACTGTTCATCTGATAGCTTTTCTGTAGTCTGTAGCCCCAATGTAAAGGTTGTATTTTGTAGTCTGGCTGCCAGTTTAGGGATTCCAGAGAAAAGTCGGTAAAATTCCTAAAAAGCAAAAAGTTTGACGCGGCCGAGACTCGAACCCGGGTTGTTCGCCTGGAAGTTTTTTTGTAGTTTGTAGTCTCTAGGAAACCGTTGTAGTCTGTAGTCTACCAGCCAGTTTGTCGATTCCAGGGCGCGGGCGAGGGCAATCTGTGCTTTGGGCGTGCGTGGCCGGGGATGCTGCGCGGCGTCTACGGGGACAAGGAAAGGTCAGGGGGGAGGGCAGGCTGGCACAGGCCATTTGGGAAGGACTGCTGACTACTGTAGCTCTGGCCAACTAGCAGAGACTCATTGCAGATTCCTGAGCACCTACATGAAGCCCTTCCCTGGGTATTACTTCACTGGCGATGGGGCGAGGAGGGATGAGGATGGATATCTGTGGATTACGGGACGGTAGGGCGGAAACCGCGATTGTAGTTCGTAGTCTGGCTGCCAGCTTAGCTAACACTACAAAAATTAGGACCTTAGCTACACACTACAAAAAGTTAGAAATTTTCGTAAAATCCGTTTTTTTGTAGTCTGTCGCCTTTGTAGTCTAGGTGTAAAAATTTGTAGCTTGTGGTCAGGCTGCCAGTTCAGCGATTCCAAAAAGAAATTGGATGTCTGGCTACAAACTACAAAAAGTTGGACCTTTTCAAAAATTTGGCAAAAATTCAATTTTTCAGATTTTCCGTTCAATTGCTATAGACAGGGCTGGGGACTGTAGCTGCTTTTAGGGATTGTAGTTTGTAGCCTGACGGTCAGCATAGCGATATCAATCAATATCAGTAAGTTAAAATGTCAAAAGACAAAAAAATCTAGACCCGGCCGGGGTTGGAACCCGGCGTCGGGCTCCTGCCTGCCATTTCTGTAGTCTGTAGTCCTGTGGTAAGGGTTGTATTTTGTAGTCTGGTAGCCAGCTAAACTATTCGAAGAAAATTCGTACCCCCGATTGCAACCGGTTGCAGCGTGGACGACCTGATGAACGTGGGCGGGCATCTGCTGAGCACCGCCGAGATTGAGGGCGCCCTCACGCAACACCAAAAGGTTTCGCCTTCCTAGGGGATCTCTGCTAGCCTGCCCCGCCCCTTCTCGCTCCCATTCCTCAAAGTTCCCTGCTAGCATGCCCCTGGAAATTCCGAAAAAAGGCAGTAAATCCCAAAGAGTAAATTCCGGACGTTTTCTAGGAGGCTAGCTAGCCGAGATTCTTTAGGAAAATTATTTTTATTTCGAAAATCGGCCTTCTGGCAGACGGGCTACAAACTACAACCACAAAAACCCCGAATTTTCAGAAATAATTTTTCAAAAACCACCAAAATCCGCATTTTTCGATGTTGTAACAAAATTGCCCTCCTTTTTCCCAAATAATCTTTGCTAGCCTGCCTCCCTCGAATTCCTCAAAGACCCTCTGCTAGGTGGCCGAGGCAGCCGTGGTGGCGGCCCCCGACCCGGTGAAGGGCAGTCAGCCGTACGCCTTCGTGACGCTGAAGGCCGACCACGAGATGGACGACCGACTGCTCGGCGAACTGCGCCAACTTGTGGGCCATATTGATTGGAATGGCTTAACTGGCAGCCAGACTACAAACTACAAGCTTTACCTAGTGGCTACAAACTAGATAAATGCCACCGTGCGCATGACCCGGGTTCGAATCCCGGCCGGGCGGACATTTTCGTTTTTTGGAAAATGAGTGTATTTTTTGACTGGGATCGCTAAACTGTCAGCCAGACTACGAACTACAAGCTTGAAAAACTCGAAACTAGGGGCACCTAGGCGTCAATAGCAGTACAACGGAAAATCACAAAAACTGGATGGTTGCCAGATTTTCGAATAACTTGTTGTAGGTTGTAGCTAGAGGTCCAGTTCTTTCGGAAATCGCTAAACTAGCAGCCAGGCTACAAAATACACCTGTTTACTCCGAAATTTTTCAGGTGCGCGACAAGATCGGCGCGATTGCCCAGCCGGGCACCATCCAGCTGGCCCCCGGCCTGCCGAAGACGCGCAGCGGAAAAGTGGGCCGCCATCAGGCGACTTTTCCACAAATGGCCTCTGCTAGGTGACGCGGCGGATTCTGCGGAAAATCGCCGAGGGGGCAGATGGGGGATTCGGGGACACGACGACCCTCGTGGATGAGACCGTCATTCAGCAGCTGATCGACGGCCGCAGCAAGACGTCGTGAAGTGTGGTGGGAATTTCGAGGGGAATCGGTGAACTGGGTGCCAGGCTACAGTATGCAACCCCGAAAATCAGACTACAAACTATACAAAAGCTACTAGATGAACACCCGCGAGTTCGACACTCGCCCAGGGCGAGCTTTTTGCTTTTTGAATCCTGAGTAGCAATTTGAATTTTTCGGTTTGCTAAACTGACATCCAGTTTACCCAAAAATTGTGCTGAAATTAAATACAGTACCCCCGAGCGTCATTAAGATCGGCTCGGAAAATTGTGAAAATGGCGATTTTTGCCATGTTCGTTCCCCTTTAAATGGCTAGATCTAGGGATAGGGTAGATGATAGTGTTGGGATGTGATAGAACTCATTCTCCTCTTTCGAATAGATCATAACAATCATCTACAGTACCCCCAAATGTCAACAGGAATCTAGCGGAAAATGAGAAAAATTGAGATTTCGCCAAATTTTCAAAATGGTCTGACTTTTCGTAGTTTGTAGCTAGAGCTCTAATTCTTTCCGGAATCGCCAAACTGCCAACCAGACTACAAAATACAACCGTTTAATCCTGGCCGGACGCTAGACTTCTATCGCGTAATCGAATAATTTGCGAAATTTTCGAATTGGTCTAACTGTTCGTAGTGTAGACCTAGGGCTCCAATTTTTTGAGCACTAGCTGAACTGGCAGTCAGGCTACAAAGTACAATCGTCATTTTAGGTATATTTTTAGTATTTGCTTTCCAGCCGGCACTCTACCGACACCACCACCCCACTCGCTTCTACGAAACGCCCCAAAATTACCGTACCCACCGCCCCCCCCCGCTATTTCCGCCCAGTTTAAGCTGTTAAATTAAGCCCCGCCTCCCTTGTTCTGTGTCTCGAATCAACCGTTGCTGTTTGCCATGAGAAAAAATTACAAAATGAATAAATGTTTCGTTTCAGGTCGTGCCCCTGTTTTGCACGTTCTGCGGTATTTAGCCGGAATATTCCGCTGCCAAACCCCAAACTGGCGCCCAGATTACAGACTACAAGGGTTAGTTGGCGCTACAGACTACAGAAAAGCTCATGGGCGAACGACTCGAGTTCGACCCCCGGCCGCGACAAAACGTTTGCTTTTTGCGTTTCCAGCTCAAATTTTGATGCCAATCCGAAAACTGGCAGTCAGACCACTGACTACAACCTGAAGCTTAAGGCTACAGACTACAGAAAAGCTTCCAGGCGAACGGCCCGGGTTCGAATCCGCGGCCGCGGCAAACTTTGCTTTTGCGTTTCCGGCTCAAGTTTGTGCCAATCCTAAGCTGGCCCGGCTAAGACTAAACCGAAGCTTCGGCACAGACTGAAAAGCTTCGGGTTCGAATCCCGGCAGGGATATTACTTTTTGCTTTTTGCGTTTCCGGCTCAAGTTTTGATGCCAATCGCTAAACTGGCACCCAGACTACAGACTACACAGGTTATTGGGCGCTCCGAGAATGACAATCGAGAATAATTTATTTCAATCATCAAAAGCCCGATTTTTTTCGCCCGTCATCGACCCGTCGAATGCGCCACCCTCATTTGTCACTTCTAAATTGTAGTAAAACTCTAAAAAACACTTAAAACTACCAAGTTCTCGCGCAACGCTCCGCAAATCGCGGCCGGTGGTGAGGATCGAGAGGAAAAACAACACCGCCGCCAGCCCTGAAAATTGTCTAAATCCTTAAAAACCCCTTTAAAAATCATTTTAGCGCTCTAAGCTTTCGCGAATCCGGCCAACTGGACGGTACCCTTTCTAATGCCACGAAAAAATCGGGAATTTCTACCCCAAAACAATGGTTCTCTCCCATTATCGGAGGGGGATTTAATTTTGGCAAGATTTCAGGACCTTTTCATGCATAAAAGATCTCATTCTTGGTCACCCAGGGGTAATCGACCCTCCTCTTTCCGATGTAGCCTTCAAAATTTTGCCAAAATCCGAGTTTAACAAGTTAAAGGCGGTTTTTGCGTTTTGCCGGTGGACGCGGGCCTTGGTTTGGTGCGCTAAAGCGTGCCCTTTCGTCGATAGGTGCCTCGTGGAGCCGTCGCCGCCCGGCTCTCGCTTTTCTAACCGCCGAAATTTCAGCCGCGCTTTTCCTTTTCTCGGTTACTTTGCCCAAATTTCGCTTAAAAATTTCCGAAAATTGTCTTGAAAGTATAAGCGAAAAATTCGCTATGAGACACTGAACTTCTGCAGATTTTCGGCCAACTTTCGACCCTGGAAACGGCGTTTTTCGAAATTTCGCCTTTTATCGAGCTAAACCAGAATTTTTGCGTTTTTTGAAACGTAGACTAGACGCTCAACTTTGTAATGGAGATTTGTAGCTAAATATCCTAGGATATTACTACTGGATTCCCAGAGATTTTCGCATTTTCCCGCCCCGCGTGGTTTTGAATTTTTATCTTTTGCTACTTTCTCTATTTTTTTTTTTGGATTGTGTATAGATTTCGCTTTCTAGCCTCTAAAAACGCCATTTACGCTTTTTCTGGGCCCGTCGAACCCACCCAAAACGGCCACCGGCAAGTAGAAGGCCTTGACGAGCGAGTCGAAATGGGCCTCGGGCGTCGAGCCCCGCCTGACCGCGTCGGAGATCTGGAAATTGCGAGATTTTGATCGTTTTGGGCCGATTTTTAGGTCCTTTTTTGGTATATATTCGTTTTTTTAGGTAGAAAACGTTTTCCCGAGACATTTCCTGCAAATTTTGCCTTGTTTTGATGATTTTCGCTTTTTTTCAGCTAATTTAGACTTTTAAACAGCTTTTTGAGCGCTATCCTAGCGGAAGAAATGATTTTTCCTGGTTTTTTTTAGGGCGTAAGAAGTTCCCCGGCGCTTTTCCTTGCTAGATTTTGCCTTATTTTGATGATTTTAGCTTTTTAGGCTAATGTCAAGGCTTTAAAAGATTTTCAGCGTTAGTATCGCTAAAATAAGTAGTGTCTTTAGGTAACAAAGATTTTCCGGCGTCCTCTCTTTGCTGAATTTTGCCTTACTCTGATGATTTTAGCTAATTTTAACGTTTGAGCAGCTTTTTAACGTTGTTCGAGCGGAATGGATAGATTTTATGCGCGATTTGGTTGCACCTTTCAAGGTTTTAGCTTTTAGGCTAATGACAAGGTTTGAAAAGGATTTTCAGCGCTAATTTAGCGAAAAGAATTAGTTTTTTTCATATTTTTGCTGTTTTCATGCTTTTCCTGCTTTTTCTTGATTTCCGACGATGATTTTTTATCGGTTTCTTTTTTGCAGGGTAACCCGACAAAGGTGGGGCAGGATGCTCGTCTACAGGCTATTCAAGGCGGCCCCGCTGTGCAAAGGTTTTTTCCACTTTCAAAACTTCAATTTCCAATTCCAGGGCTCGAGCGTGCCGTCAACCGGTCGACGCTGATCGTGAACGCGCGCTGCTTGGCCGTGCCGGGCGGCAAGACCAACTTCAAGCGCGACAAGCCCCATCTGAACGTGGGCACGATCGGGCACGTCGATCACGGAAAGACCACCCTCACCTCAGCCATCACCAAGGGTACATTTTTAGGTTAAAAAAACTAAAAATTCGTCTAGTAAAGGAAATCTGATTGTTTTTCAGGTTTTTTAGTCGTTTCTAAGGCTATAAAAACCCAAAAAGTTTGGAAACAACTGATTTTGGTGCGATTTTTGACCATTCTTTGCAAGTTTTCTTAATTTTTGTGTATCTTGTAGGGCCAATAGCAATTTTTATAGCTTTTCTCGTTGTTTTTAAGGCCATAAAACACCGGAAACGTTGGAAAAAAAGTGATTTTGGTGTGATTTTTGACCATTCTGTGCAACTTTTCTTAATTTTCTGTAACTAATAAGTGCATCGCGTTTTTATAAAGCTTTTCTCGTCGTTTCTAAGGCTAGAAAAACCAAAAAAAAACTCATTTTCCCGAAAACGCTCAAATTCTTGGGTTCTTAGTACTTTTTCGGGTTTCTAGCAACTTTTCAGGGCTGGAAAACAAGTTTTTTGCGCCTAAATCGCACGAAAAACTTCTAGAATGAAAACCTTGCGGTTTTTTTTCGTGAAAAATCATAAAGTTTTCGATTTTTTTGGGGTTTCTGGAAGGTTTTTTGGCTTTAAAATCTTCGTATTTTTTTGGAACGTCCTCTTTTTGCAGTGCTCGCGACGAAGAAGGGCGCCAAGTACCGCAAATACGAGGACATTGACAACGCGCCCGAGGAGAAGGCTAGAGGTACGTTTTTGGGGCCAATTCCCAGTCTTATGCTCTGTTTTAGGGATCACGATCAACGCCTTCCACCTGGAGTACGAGACGGCGAAACGGCACTACGCGCACATTGACTGCCCCGGGCATGCCGACTACATCAAGAACATGATCACCGGCGCCGCCCAGATGGAGGGCGCCATTTTGGTGGTGGCTGCCACCGATGGCGCCATGCCGCAGGTATCGTTTTCGTATTTTTTGGTCGAAGTAAAGCTCGAAAAATGCGCTAAAAATGCTTGCAAAAGCCTAGAAACTAAGCTGCAAATTGTTTGATTTTATCGCTTTTGTTTTGAGCGTTTCGCTTCTCCCCATCTTTATTAATCGAATTTAAAGCCTTTTTTCGTGATTTTTTTGATGGTTAAGGCTAAAAACATGAACCTCCAATTTTGAGGCCAAATCGAGCATTTTTAGGAATCTATTCGCGTCGTTAGCGTCGATTTAAGCTATGAAAAATGCGCTAAAAATCTCCAAATTGTTAAAACTGCCTGGAAAAGCATAGAAACTCCTAGAAGAAGCCAAAGTCTAGAAACCCGAAAATTATTCGCCTCGATCGTTTTGATCGCCGACATTGTGGGCATTCGGAATTTTTTCAAGTTTAATTTTTGGGTTTTTTCGGTTTTTGGAACGTTTCAACGCTCTATTTAACACTTGCTAGCATCTGGGGTGGTTTTTAATGGTTTTTGAGCCTGGAAAATTGTTAAAGATTCGAGAGAACTTTTTGGACGAAAAATATGATCCGTTTCGGGCTTGATAAGTTTTATAGACGAGTTTTAGCGATTTTTTTTGCCGATTTCGTGTACAAATTTGCCTTGAAAATTTACGAAAGACCGGAAATTTTAGTTTTTGGGCCCAGAAATTAAAATTTTGCAGTTTTATGTTTTTTTCGGGGTTGGAAATGTCCAAAAAACTAGAGAAAAACTTTTTTTATGCTTTCTGAATTAATTTTTTTTTGTATTTTAGACGCGCGAGCACCTGCTGCTGGCCAAGCAGGTCGGCATCCCGCTGCAGAATGTCGTCGTCTTTTTGAACAAGGTATCCTGTGGCCTGAGTTTTTTTAAAAATTCTTTTCCCTTTTAGTCGGACGAGGTGCGGGACAAGGAGACGCGCGAGCTCGTCGAGATGGAGATCCGCGAGCTGCTCAACGAGTTCCAGTACCCCGGCGATGACGTTAAGGTACATTTTTTTATTTTTTAGAAAAAGGCTACGATATTTTTAAGCTAAAAACTTTATTTTAAAATGCTTAGTACATTGATTTTTTTAAATATTGTACAAATTCTCGTTTTTAATTTGAAATTTGACTTTTGTAGGTTTTGCTTTTTTAAAAGTTGCGGTTTTTTTAGAAGTTTTTTCTGCCATTTTTGGGGGTCAGTTTAATTTAGTTTGAAAATGATTTTTTTGAATTCCTCACTGGATTATTTTTTCCTTTTTTAATTAATATCATTACGTGCAATTTTTTTTTGGTTTTTGAGGGAAATTCCCGTTTTTAATGTAATTTATATCTTGAAATTAAAAAAAAATTGGATAAAACTGAATTTTTAATGTCTAAATAGTAGAATTTTTAGTGTATTAGTCTTTCAAAAAAATCAGAATTTGATTTTCCGATTTTACGCCCATTTCTTTAGGTAATCTTCGGGTCGGCGCTGTGCGCGTTGGAGGGCAAAGAGCCGGAGCTGGGCGAGCAGTCCGTACAACAACTCCTCGACGTGCTCGACAATGACTTTATCATCCCGGAGCGGAAGACCAACGAGGAGCCCATGTTTGCCGCCGAGCACGTGTACTCCATTAAAGGTATTTTCGCTGTTTTCGGCCATCTTTCGCTCCTGGACTGTTTGAGGACGAGCTCGTGCTCGTGCTCAAAAATTGGGAAATTTTGGAATTTGTTTTTCTGGCTTGGCAAGCGTTTGGCAATCGATTACGCAAGCAAAATATTTACGAAATTTGAAGCGTTAGGGATCCGTGGGGACCGGGAAATGGGACAATTCGTTTTTTTTCACGTTTTGCCGAGAAGGACGGTGTTTTGAATATATCGTGGCACAAAATAGGCAGCTACCGTAACCCCGGAAAATGCGAAAAATCGCTACCAACATTTGTCATTTTTTGCATTTTTTAGGAAAATAAAAAAGGACATTTTAGCGCAGCATGCCATCGCCAAGTACTGTAACCGTTCAGCGCGATTTTCGCAAGTGGGCCAAATGCGTGTTGTGCAGATTTTTGCGCTGAGGGCGAGCTCGTGCTTGCCAGTTGAAAAATTTATGAATAGCCTTTTCCGGTCTGGGAAGCATTTTGGCAATCGATTACGCGAGAAAAATAATTTTGCGAAATTTTGCGCCCATTTCAGTGCGGAAAATGGGGTTTTTATTTTCCTCAAAGGATCCCTGCTAGCCTGCCCCCTCCTTTCCTCAACGATCTCTGCTAGCTTTTCGTTTATTTATGCGAATTTCCAGGGCGCGGCACCGTGATCACGGGCAAGCTGGAACGCGGTGTGCTGAAGCGGGGCGACAAGATTGAAATTGTCGGATGCGATCGAGAGGGGCTGTCGTCGGTCATTTCTGGTAGGTTTTTCTCTCTATCTCTCTCTCTCTCTCTCTCTCTCTCTCTCTCTCTCTCTCTCTCTCTCTCTCCCCAGTTCTGTTCTGTTAGCGGGGGACCACTTTTTATTTTTTCGCCTATACCTGAAAATCCTGTAGATGATATACAATGTATTTTTAGTATTTTTAGTATTTATTTTTATTTTATTTTGTTTTTATTTATTTAAGTATTTTTAGTATTTACAATGTATTTTTAGTGTTTTTTTTTGCTTTGGAATTCCGGGAAAGTTAGAAAAAGATTTTGAAAATTTTGTAAATACGAAAATTTCGACTTTTGGTCATTTTTCATCAAAAAATCGAAAATTTTGGATTTTTGTATTGTTTTTTATAATTAAAAACCAAAACAAATTGGCTATAGAAATGGTTTATATTTTTTTGTTATAGAGTTGTAGAGAATCACCGGAAAAATTTACCCCCCCACTAACGGAACAGAGCTTGTTTTTCTCCGTCTCTCTCTATCTCTCGCTCGCTCTCCCTCCCGAAATGCTCCACCCTGATGTTCATCTTCTTTAGGCCTCGAATCATTCCACAAAACCGTCGACCAAGCGGAACCTGGGGATCAGCTGGGTGTCCTCCTCCGTGGCCTCGGCCCAAAGGTATCCGATTACGCCCGCCAATCCCTCTAATCGACGTATTCAGGATGTTCGCCGTGGATGTGTCCTCCTCCCCGCCGGCCACAAGCACAAGGTCACCGACAAGGTCAAGGCACAGGTGAGCAGCGCCCGCATATGGTTGAGACACCTCTCTGTTTTTGCAGCTGTACGTGCTGAAGTCGTCGGAGGGCGGCGGGAAGGTGCCGATCGCCAACTACTTCAACGAGCACCTCTTCTCGCTGACGTGGGACACCGGGGCCCTGGTCAAGATTGTCGGCAAGGACTTTATCATGCCCGGCGAGAGTGGAGAGTACGTTTTTGGAGCCGGGTTTTGCGGTTCTGTTCTGTTAGCGGGGGGCGGGGGGCACTTTTTTGTAGTTTTGATTGCTAAAAAAGTATAGAAACTATTTTTTAATGGTTCAAAATTCGAAAATGTTGACTTTTTTGTCATTTTTCAGACATTTTACACCAAAATTTACAAATTGTCGAATTTTTTTTTCATTTTTTTCCATCTGGAATTGACGTTGAAATTAAATTAAATTATATTTGGTTCTGTGCTGTTAGCGGGGGGACCAGATTTTTGGTTTTCCACCTATACTTCCCTATTAATAATAAATAAAGCTTTTAAGTCTTTTTATTAGTTTTTAAATGCTATAAAATTATCGAAAATATTTTTGAAACTTGGAAATTTCGAAAATTTTGACCCTTTTTGTCATTTTTAATTTTTCAGAAAAAGTCAAACATTTTCGAAAATTTTTTGATTTTTTTATATTGTTTTTTATAGGTAAAAACGATGTAAACTGCTCCAAAAATGGTTTAAACTTTGTTATGGGGGCCGTAGAAAATCCCAGGGGGAAAATTTGGTCCCCCCCGCTAGCAGAACAGAACCCGTGATTTTCCGTCCATTTTCTGCCTTCAATGGCCCTTTAAAACAGATTTCCATGCGTTTTAAAGGGCCATTGAAGCCTGGAAGTGGCCGGAAATTAATTTTTTAGGTGGACCGCCTATATCTATTTCCATTTATCTCATTTGTCTAGGGTGGAGCTGATGCTGAACGCGAAGATGTTCATCGAGCCGCAACAGCGCTTCACGATTCGCCAGGGGTCGACGACGATTGGCACCGGCGTGTTCACCGACTGCCTGCCCGCGCAGACTGACGAGGAAAAGGTACTTTTCATGGTTTTTGAGCGCTTTTTGGGGTATATTGTTACGTGGCCGAGTGGTTAGCGCGCTGGTCTGTCACCCGCAGGGCCCGGGTTCGACTCCCGGCCCCGGAAAACTTTTTGCTTTCTGGAGTTTTTAGCCGATTTTTGTCTGGGAAGGACCAAAATGAAATCCAGGCTACAAACTACAACGCTTAGAATCGACTACAAGCTACGGATACCAGGCCGTCCGGGTTCGATCCCCGGCCGCGCTGACAGATCTTTGCTTTTGGGTTTTTGGCTTGTTTTTGGATGGGAAAAGCTAAAATAGCTTCAAGGCCACAAACTACAAAACCGACTAAAGGCTACAGAGTACAAAAACTGCCAGGCAAACGTCGCGGGTTCGACTCCCGGCCGCGCCGAAATTTTTTGATTTTTGGATTTTTGGCTTGTTTTTGGATGGGAAAAGCTAAAATGGCGTCTAGACTACAAATTACAGCCTTTAGAATAGACTACAGACTACGGGAAAGGCCCGGGTTCGACCCCCGGCCGCGCCGAAATTTTTTGCTTTTTGAATTTTTTAGCAATTTTTTGCCAGTTTTCCAATGATTCCTTCTCGTTTTCAGGACCTGAAAGCCCGGAAGAAGCTGATGAAGGCGGAGGCGGAACGACTCGGCTTCAACCCGTACGGAGAGGGAGCCGAGAAGAAGCTGAAGCTCGACCTCACCACAGCACCCAAGGATAACCCCATGGCCAAGGCGTTCGAGGCGGCCGACAAGTAATCTGTCTCTATCTCTCTCTCTCTCCCTCCCTGTCTCTATCTCTCGCTGTCTCTGGTCTCTCTCTCCCTCCCCTCTCCCTCGTTTTGCTAGTTATAGTGATTGTCGCTCTCTATTTATTTCTAGGTTTGTTTTGTTCATTTTTGTTTGTCGTTTGCGTTGTTTTTTTGTGGTGTGTCCCATCGCCTCCCCGGATAAATTGATTTTCGTCTCAAAGAAACGCTGCTCGTCTGCCTCCCATTGAGCGAGGTCAAATGCCTCAAAGTTTCTCTTCAAAGAATCGATGCCTGCTGGCCACTGATTTTTTAAATTTATTTTTTAACTATTTCGAAAAATGAAAGTAATAAGAAAAGTTTATTAATGAATTATGTGTGAATTTTTGAGTAAATTATAAGTATAATAATGTGTAAATTTGTATAATTAAAATTAAAAGACTCCCACTGCAAGCAGGGGAGTTAAACGAGCCGAAGCCCGCGGAAATCCCACGAAGGGACTGAACTCGCAAGCGAGCGTAAACCGACTAAGCGGTTTGAACCAAACCACAAGGGAATGGCGGGTGCTCTATATAGAGCTGAAAGGGAATATAAAAGGATGGCCTGTTTCGACCCTAAACCAAGACAGGCTGAAGTAACATCAGGGTGGGTCTCCTCAGTTGGATTCCCTGATGCTCCTAGTGTAAGATTGAAAGGTAATATAGAAGAATGGAGAAAGAATTTAGTTAATTTAGAGTTAATTTTGTCTAGATTATTATAGTTTTAACTACTTTTTTAATCTTTTCACCTTCTTCCTATTTTGATTAGATCTATCTTCCCGTGATTGGGGGGGGGCAAAGAGGCCGCGTCGATAGGAGGGGTATGTAGCCTAGCGTAATAGGGTGGACGGGTGAATGAGATAAGAAGTAGGATTTGAAAGAGAAAATTGTGAAAAGATGAAAGAGAAAGTAAATACAATGGTGAATGTAGAAATTTTATCAATTTAGCTATTTATTGTTTTGTTTTAGTTTATGTATTATATGTTTAAGGTTGGAATCATATTTTAGGCTAAGTCCCGGGTGTTTTTTCATAGTTTTAGTGAATAAATTTAGTAGAATATAATTAGGATAGCCATTTTTAACTAAATGTGTGAATAGTTGTTGTAAATGTTTAATAAACGGGTCTAGATTCGAACATTTTCTAGCTATTCTGATAATTTCGCCTTCCACGCAGCCATGTTTAATTGTGTATGAGATATTAGATAAGTAGTTAGGCATGCGTGTGACACTAAAATGATAGTCGTCTACTTTGTTGTATAGTTCTGATTGTATTTTACTGTTTTCCACATATATTTTTAGGTCTAAGAAGTTACCAGATGTGGATATTAGATTAGTTTGCTCCAGTGTTAGTTCTTTTGGATAAATGTTTGCTAGGAAGTTTTCGATATTAACCCCAGTTTTGTATAGAATAAGTATATCATCCATATATCTGTGACCTATTATCTTTTCAGTGTCGTTATCTTTTAGAAAATTGTATTCATAGTAACTAAGGGTAAGATCTGCTAACATAGGGCTACAGTTTTGACCTTGTGGTATACCTAATTTTTGTTGAAATAATTGCTGTTTGTACGATACGAAGCTATTGTTGAGAAGGTAGTGTACTAAATAAATGATGTCTTTTTTATTGTATATATTGTTACCTCCGTTATCGTTAGTATAATAACAATTTTTATATCCCAATTTAATATGACTTTTATTAGAATTATTAAAACATATGTCTAAGATACCGTTGATAGCTGTATTTACTATTTTATGTGGTAAATTAGTGAATAAACTACTAAAATCAGCTATATATAGATTATTTTTATCTTGATTTTCCATCAGGTTAACTTGATTTGAGTTGTCAATAGACCAAAACACCTTTTTATTAGTAAAATTCGTGATTGCTAAACAATATCTTTGAAAGATTTTGTGCTTTACAAAAATACCAATTTTCGCCCAGAAAATCTTTGCTAGCCTGCCCGAAATTCCTCAAGGAATCCCTGCTAGCCTGCCCAGCGCGAGACGATTCCGTAAAGAACCCTGCTAGCTTGCCACTCCCAGCCCTTCCAATTCCGCAAAACTTCTGTCGCCCCTACTGCAAAGAATCGCTGCTAGCCTGCAGCCGCGATTTCGCAAAGAATCGCTGCTACTTGCCCCCCGTTAACTCACCGCCCCCACGATATAGGGCCCTGTCGCATCTCCCAGAATGGCCGAGATCAACGCCTGCCACGAGTTGGCCGTGTTCCGCCGGCTGGGCACGATCACCGACTGAAATTTGGGCGGCGCGTCATCGAGCTGTTCAACCCCCCCGCTTACCAGCTGCAAATCGACGACCACGGCAAGATTGCAGCACGCAGCCGTGATCCCCACGAAGAATAGGGCCTGCAAAAAATGCTCTTTGGTCTTTTGGCGAAATTCCTGAATGGTCGCTGCTCGCTTGCCCGGAGCCGGGTTCGAACCCTGGCCGCGGCAAAATTTTTGCTTTTTCAAGCTAGGGCTCTAATTTTTTGGAGAATAGCTTAACTGACGGCCAGACTACAAACTACGCTTCCTGGAAAAGGCCACAGACTACAAAAACCTGCTAGGCGAACGCCGCGGGTTCGATTCCCAGCCGCGTCAAACTTTTTGCTTTTTGGAATTTTAGCTCTTTTCGAATCGAGTGGCTAAACTGGCAGCCAGACTAGAAACTACAAGTCTCAGAAAAGGGTACAGACTACAAAAACACTAGGGCTCCTCAATAATCTCTGCCAGCTGGCCCGATCCGGCTAATTTTTTGATTTTTGAACATAGGGCTCTGATTTTTCGAGAATAGCCTAGCTGCCAGCCAGACTACAGGCTGCAACTTTTATACTGAGGCTACAAACTACAAAAACCTGATAGGCGAACGACGCGGGTTCGAACCCCGGCCGCGGCCAACTTTTTGGTTTTTGGAATTTTTGTTGATTTTTCGATTAGAATGGCTAAACTGTCGTCTAGACTACAAACTAAATTTCTCAGAAAGAGGCTACAAACTACAAAAAACCTGCCAGTCGAACGACCCGGGTTCGAACCCCGCCCACGGCCAACTTTTCGCTTTTTGAGGCCTGAGCTAATCTTTTTCGTTTTAAATCTTTAAACTGGCTTCCAGCCTACAAACTACAACGCTCCAAAACTCACATATGCGACCGTAAGATGATCCTTTGCCATCGGGAACCCGACGCCCATGGCCGGGATGCAAATCAGCGCCCCGACAGTGCACACCCACGCATCCGCCGACTCGGTTTGTAGTCTGGAGCACAGCCCTTTTCCCGTTTTCATCCACTAAAATCAAAAAAGAATTCAAAATAATCGGGGTAAAATCGGTTACGCTACGAAATTCGCAAAATTCAATAGAATACGCGACGACATTCACGAGGTTCGAGCTACGCTAGGAAATCGCTAAAATTCGATAGATTACGCCATGAAAATCACCGAAAATAATCGATTACGCAACGAAATTCACAAAATTCAATCGATTACGCTACGAAACTGTTCATTTTTGATTGATTACGCGATGAAATCCCCGAGAGTTTAACCGATTACGCCATGGAAATCGACAAAAAACTTGCATAGGCAATTAGGGAGCCGACGACGACGCCGAGCAGTCCAGAGATGAGGGTGATGGCACCTGTCACGAGGGTTATGCTGGAAATGGACTATTTAGGCGGGGGCAGGCTAGCAGAGGGCATTTGGGAAGTGTGAATCGATAAACTGGCAGCCAGCTGGGCGAATGGCAAGCTAGCAGAGACAATTTAGTGCCGTAATCGATTAGATTTCCAGGGTTTATTGATTTTTTCGAGAATTTGCTAGCGTAATCGATTCTAGAGCACCGGGTAAGCTAGCAGAGTCCATTTAGGAGGTGGGAATCGATAAACTGGCAGCCAGCTGGGCGAATGGCAAGGTATCGGAGACAATTTAGTGCCGTAATCGATTAGTTTTCTCAATTTTCTCCTCTTTGTCAACATTGCATCGCGTAATTGGATCCCAAAAAGCCGGGCAAGCTATCAGAATTCGTTTGGGAGGTGGGAATCGATAAACTGGCAGCCAGCTGGGCAAGCGGCAAGCTAGCAAAGACCATTTTTGAAGTCAGACTCACTTATTCTTCTGATCATCCGTCAATTCATCGCTATCGCCCAGCCCCAACTTGGCCGCCTTCCCGTGCTCGATCAACGTCGGCGCCCACCTAAAAAAGCGATTGCCGACACTTTTCAAGGGCCATTGAAGGCAGAAATCGTCAAAAATCGCGTACCACTCGAGAGATCCGGTGAGGAACATGACGCACGTCAGCCCCAGCGTCGACAGAATGTACGTCGGGCTTAAAATGCCATTTTTTTGCGTTTCGTCTTTCAATTTGGCTTGTAATCGCCGATCTACCTGACAGACTACGGGCTACAAACTTCATTTTCCAGTTTGCACTCAAGAAAACCCATGAGGCGAACGTCCCGAGTTCGATCCCGGTCGCCGTCAAATTTTTTTGCTTTTTGAAGTGCCGTCTGGACTTTTTGTGGGAATATCTGAAGTGGCATCCAGTTCACCGAAAACTCCGAATTAGATCAACTACCGTACCCCGGAGTGTCCAAAGCAAAGTTTTGGAAAAATCGTCAAAATGGTGATTTTCGGGGTGTACTGCCCCCTTTAAGTGGCTAGATCTAGGGATAGGGTAGATGATAGTGTTGGGATGTGATAGAACTCATTCTCCTCTTTCGAATAGATCATAACAATCATCTACAGTACCCCCAAATGTCTACAGGAATCTAGCGGAAAATCGGGAAAAATCGAGCTTTCGCCAAATTTGCTATTCGGCCTGCTTTTTTTGTAGCCTGTAACTATAACTCTAATTTTTGTAGGATCGCTTAACTGGCCGGCAGGCTACAGGCTACACTCACTCGATTCGAACTACAAACTACAGAAAAATTTCTAGCGTCACAGCTCGGGTTCGAACCCCAGCGGGGGTAAGCATTCTGGGTTTTGAATTTTCGGCTTGGATTTTGTGATAAATTGCTAAACTGGCATGCAGACTACAGAATACAACCGTTTTTAAAACGTACATCTTGATAATCTGCATGCAGTCCCGCCAAAACGAGCGTTCCGGCCTCGTGGGTTCATCTTCTTGGCGGCGGGGCTCTCGGAGCAGGACAATCACCAGCAGATCGATAATAACGCCTAAAAAAGCGCGCTGTTCCACAAATGGTCTCTGCTGGTTGGCAGGAAAGACATACCAATCATCGCCGTGAATCGAACACCCCACTGCCAATGGCCAAGGGCTGAACCCATTCGAGAACCACACAAAAAGCCGAGACCGCTGCAAAATCGGGCTTTTAAAGGCATTTAGAAGGCAAAATCCATATGATTCTGGCTGGAATCATCGTTTCAAATAAAAATCTATGGCCAATTTTGCCTTCATTGGTCCTTTAAAATGCCAGAAATCCATTTTAAAGAGACCGGCAAGGCAAAATACATCGGCTTCTCGCTTCAATGGTCCTTTAAGACAAAAATCCATCGCCACTTGGCCTTCGATGGCTCTTGAAAACGCTAGAATTGATTTTAAAGGGACCGGCAAGGCAAAATCCCTAATCTGGTAACCTTTTTTGCCTTCAACGGCCCTTTAAAACAAAATCAACCGCCATCTTGCCTTCACGGGTCCTTTAAAATGCCAGAAATTCATTTTGAAGGGTCCGGAAAGGCAAAATCCACGAACCTGCCTACGGGAATCATAAAAAAGAACATCATCAACGCCATACTCCGCTTCGTTCCTGTGTACAGATCGGCTAAAAGCTACTTTACGACTCGAATATGTTAATTCTGTCGATATTCTGTAGTCTGACTAACAGTTTACCGATTCCCGAAAAAATTAGCCTTTTAGCTACAAATTACAAGCCTGCTCCCGTCTCCCGTGTCCGGCGCCCAGTTGGCTAGGTACAAAATACGAGAACATGCCGATCGAAATTTTGGCGAAATCCAATTTTTCCTCATTTCCGCCAGATTCCTGTTGACATTTGGGGGTACTGTAGATGATTGTTATGATCTATTCGAAAGAGGAGAATGAGTTCTATCACATCCCAACACTATCATCTACTGTATCCCTAGATCTAGCCATTTAAAGGGGGCAGAACTCCCTGAAATCGCGATTTTCACACTTTTCTCATACATCAATGTTGCCTCAATTTCGCCAGGTATCGCGATTTTTTCGTGGAAATATTGAAACTGGCATGCAAGCAGTAATACTTTGCGGAATAATTCTCAAAAATGGTTACCGATAATTGTCGGGGCCAACACGGTGCAGCTGGACTGGCCGACGCCGGAGAGACCGCGCGAGATCAGAAAAAGGGCCCATAACTAAATTTTTCCTTCAGTAACTCTGCCAGCCTGCCCCCGACTCACGTTATTCGGGATTATTGACGAGACGCCGACCAGTAGAATCCACAGCGTCACCGTCAGGGATAGCAGCCACTTTCGGGACGTTCTAAATGGGGAAATTTTCGAGAACCGGGCGTGCTAGCAGAGATTTTTGGACGAAAACTGGAAAAATGGCAGCCAGGCTACAAGATGCAAAATTAACTAACGGACTACCAACTACAAAAACGCTACCAAGAGCGCGACCCAGGCTCGAATGCCGGCTGACGCATCTTTTCGTATTTTGGATTTTTGGGTGATGTTTTTAGTGGGATCACTAAACTGGCAATCAGACTACAAAATACAACCTTAAGAAACGGACCACAAACTACAAAGGGCTACCAAGCGCACGACTCGGGTTCGAATCCCGTCCGCAGCTAACTTTTTGCTTTTTATATTTTTTGCCATATGCTATACTAGAATCATTGAAATGGCAGCCAGTCTACAGACTACAATAGTTACTTTGAGACTACAGACTACAGAAAGCTATCACGCTGGGGTCCCTGGTTCGAATCCCGGGCGCGGCTAATTTTTTGCTTTTTGGATTTTTGAGAGGATGTTGTTAATCGAATCGCTGAACTGGCAGTCAGACCACAGGCTACAATCGGCATGTTCCCCAAATTGTCCCTGCTGGCCTGCCCCGATGGTGGTATGCGAAATTTGCATAATTAGGATAATTTGACTGGGGTAACATGTGCATCCGGAAGCGGGTCGAGGTTTTAATGCGTTTTCGGGGGGTATAAATAGCCGTAGAGAGAGGGAAACGGGTCCGAAAGCGCCTTTTCTACTGTATTCTCTCTCTCGACACGTCGTCTTAAATATTACCCGGCTTTTCGCTTAGAATTTCACGAAAAAATCATCATCACCTGCACTCCCCCTGCCACAGCCATGCCAAAAATTGAGGATGCCGTCAAAGTAATGCTTTTTACATATTTTTATTTTAATTTAAAACCTAAATTTTTCAAAAAAAATTTTGGATTTTCAAAATTTTATAGTTCAAAAATCGCATTTCTTACATTTTGTTTTTGATTTTTTAATTTTTGTTTAATTTTGTTGATTTTAATTTTTTAATTGTCAAATGGCTAGGGAGGTGGCGAGAAGGCGAAGAAGAAAGGATACGATGATGTGGAGATCGATCTCGACGACGACGACGACAAGAAGACCGCCGGCAAATCCAAGAAATCTGAGAAGAAGGAGGCCAGCAAAAAGGTAGTTTGTAGTCTGGATGTCAGTTTAGCGATTCCCACAAAAATTACGACTTAAAACTTCAAAGGCAAAAAGTTTCGCCGCGGGCGGGGGTCGAACCCGAGTCCTTGGCCTGGGGATTTCTGTAGTTTGTAGCCTACATTTAGAGTTTGTAGTCTATAGCCTGGGTGGCAGTTTTGGGATTCTGGTAAGAAATACGGTTACAGCTACAAACTACAAAAAGTTACGCCCATTTGAAAATTTCGCGAATCTCGCTTTCCTCCTTTTACCATTTTTCTGTACTTTGTAGCCTGAATATAGTCATTGTAGTTTGTAGTCTGGCTGCCAGTTTATGGATTCTAACGGCAAAATCAGAAAAATTTTCAAAAAGCAAAAAGTTTTGCCGCGGGCGGGGATCGAACCCGGCTCGCGCGCCTGGGAGATTTTATGTAGTCTGTAGCTTCTAGGAAACAGTTGTAGTCTGTAACCTGGCTGCCAGTTAAGCGATTCCCGAGCTCTATGCTCCTTTTTGCAGCAAGACGGCAGCAAGAAGAGCGGCAAACAGGAGAAGGAGGCCAAGCCGGCTGCCCCTGCCGAACCTGCTGCGGCTGCTGCTGCTGCTCAACCACCAGCTGCTGCCGCCGCCGCGCCTCCCCCTCCATCCGAGAAGCCAAAAGCGGCGGAGGCGCCGCGTGCCGTCCCGTCGGGAGCGGCGGGCGGCGCGTCGGCGGTGAAGCCCGTCTCCCAAGCCGCTGCCGCCCCACCACCACAAGAGAATGCTGCTGGGGTACGGATGGAGTTTGTAGTCTGCATGCCAGTTTGGCCATTCGAATTCAAAACTAGGCTTAAAAATCAAGGAGCAAAAAGTTGTGCATCGGCCGGGGGTCGAACCCGAGTCGTGAAGACGGCGCTTTATGAGGTTTGTAGCCTTGAGGAAACAGTTGTAGTCTGTAGTCTGGGCGCCAGTTTAGCGATTCCGATTGTAAACTAAAGGCAAAAAGCAAAAAGCAAAAAGTTATGCCCCAGCCAGGAGTCGAACCCGGGCCCTGTGCCTCGTAGGGTTTTTGTAGTTTATAGTCTCCTAATGTTTGTAGTCTGTAGCCTACCTGCCAGTTTAGCCATTCCAATCAAAATTTCATCGATTGCCCTCCAGGGCAAGCTAGCAGAGACGTTTTGATTGCAGACGCCGGAAGCGTCGGTGGCCGCGACGCCGCAATCCGCGAAAAAGGAGAAGAACTGCTGCCGGATGATGTAGAAGACAGACGGACGGACAGATTGACAGACAGACAGCAGCCGCCCCACTCCATTTCTCTCGCCATCCAACTGTCTCTCTCTTTCTCTCGCTGTATTTGTGCACCACCGAATAAATCGTTCAATGGGGGTTGTTTCTGGCGCTGATGTTTGGGGGAATTGTTTAATTGGCTGGTAGGCTACGAAATACAAACTTGGAGCCTAGGCTACATACTACAGAAATGGCTTTCGGGCGAACGAGCCGGGTTCGACCCCCCGGCCGCGCGAAACTTTTTGCTTTTTCAAAATTAGGTCTGGATTTTTATCAGAATCGCTCAACTGGAAGCCAGACGACAAAATACAACTGTTAAAAATTAGCTACAGTACCCCTGGCGTCAAAAGGTGCAATGCGGAAAAGTGCCAAAATATCGATTTTCGTGCTGTTCTGCCCCCTTTAGATGGCTAGATATGAGGATAGGGTTGATGATAGTGTTGGGATGTGATAGAACTCATTCTCCTCTTTCGAATAGATCATAACAATTATCTACAGTACCCCCAAATGTCAACAGGAATCACGCGGAAAAGCGGAAAAATTGGATTTTGCGATTTTTTCAAATGGGCATAAGTTTTTGTAGTTTGTAGCTACAGCTCTAATTTTTCGGCACGAGCTAAACTGGCAGCCAGACCACAAACTACACGGGGCACTGCCCTCGACGGCAAACGAGCGGAGACAATTGCGGCTTTTTTTTGGGAAAACCGCGTTTTTTATTTTTAAAATTTCGGAAAATTTTTTTCGGGCAACCTAGCGGTGACGATTGCGGAATCGGGGTAAAAAACCGGACAGGCTAGCAGAGATTCTTGGGGAAAATGGGCCAAAAACCGACCTGTCCCCAAAATAGCCGAACAGCGGGTTGAAGACGAAGTAGAAGGCGAAATAGACGGTCTGCACCAGGCCCGCCGACGAATCATTCACACCGTAGTACTCTTGGATGTCTTTTAACACGCCTGAAATGTTGTAAATTCGGTTTGAAAACAATTAAAAAATTTTAATTTGGTTAAAATCGATTTTTTTTCCACTTTTTTTGTCGCAAAATATGCAAATTTCTTCTGATCCCGAAATAACGCTTGTAGTCTGTGGTCTGGCTGCCATTTCAGCTATTCTGATAGAAAAAATAGACTTCAAACGCAAAAAGCAAAAAATCGCGGCAGCCGGGCGTCGCACCCGGGCCGTCCGCCCGGAAACATTTTTGTAGTTTGTAGTTGAAAAATGATAATTGTAGTCTGTAGCCTGGCATCCAGTTTAGTTATTCCCGAAAAATTAGGGTTTTGGCTATAAACTACGAAAAGTTAGATTAATTCGAAATCAGGGAAAACCCAATTTTCGACTTTTCCGTTAGATTTCTGTTGACGTTTGGGGGTACTGTAGATGCTTGTTATGATCTATTCGAAAGAGGAGAATGAGTTCTATCACATCCCAACACTAGCATCTACCCGATCCCTAGATCTACCCACTTAAAGGGGGCAGAACATCCGGAAAATCGCGATTCTGGCATTTTTCCAAATTGGTTCTGTTGACGATTTAGGGCACTGTAATTGTCATAAATAAAATTTGCAGGCATTCTGGCTTTCAGTTTAGCGATTCTGATAAAAATCTAGACCAACTTTTGAAAAAGCAAAAAGTTATGCCCGGGCGGGGGGTCGAACCCTTGTCGTCTGCCTCGTGTATTTTTTGTAGTTTGTAGTTTTGGAAAAACGAACTGGCCACCGACAATCGATCCATGTAGAGCACCATATTGACAAGGCACAAAATGCCGACATGCACCGCCTGCCAGCTCATTTTTGACCCGAGTACTGAAATGGGATCTTCGGAGGGCAGGCTAGCAGGGACGCGTGGGGAAATTGAGAAAGAGTTTGTAGTTTGTAGTTTGGATTCCAGTTTAGCGATCCAGCTCAACATCTAAGTAAAAAATTGGAAAAGCAAAAAGTTTCGCCGCGGACGGGGTTCGAACCCGGGTCGTAGCATCCAGCATCCCTAGCATCCAGACTGTAGCCTGTAGCCTGAAAATAAAAGTTCCAGTCTGTAGCCTGACTGCCAATTAAAGGATTCTTGCCAAGAAATCAACTAAAAATTCAAAAAGCAAAAAGGTTGCCGTGATCAGGATCCGAACCCGGGTCGTGCGTCTGGTAACTTTTTTTGCAGTCTGTAACCCGAAAATCAAATTTGTAGTCTGTAGCCTGTCTGCCAGTTTAGCGATTTTAACAAAAAATCGGTTAAAAACTCCAACAAATTCCTTAAAAACTGGAAAAATCACAGCCAATTATGCAAGGAAATTTGTATTTTTTTGGGCCGAAAGTCTAAAGCCATTTCTATAATTTGTAGCCCGAAAATAAAAGTTGTAGTCTGTAGCCTGTCTGCCAGTTTAGCGATTCGAACACAGAAATCGGTTAAAAAGTTACAAAATAGGCCCAAAAAAGGAGCAACAAATCACATCCAGTTACGCGATGGAATTCGGGGGCAGAGA